ACATCTGCTTGATGTGGAAAGTCTTCTTGGGGCCTGGGATGGGGGTGAGGGAGGAGGTATGGGGGCAGGTGTAGCACTTCCTGCGGTTGCAGGGAAAAGTGCCGGGTGTGGTGGAGCTGGAGGGGAGTGTGGAGCGGACAAGGGAGTCACGGAGAGAGTTGTCCCTCCGGAAAGCAGATAAAGGTGGGGAGGGAAAGATGTCTTTGGTGGTGGGGTCGGATTGCAGATGGCGGAAGTGTCGGAGGATGATGCGTTGGATCCGGAGGTTGGTGGGGTGGTACGTGAGGACGAGGGGGATTCTTTTTTGGTTTTTATTGCGTGGACGGGGTGTGAGGGATGAGGTGCGGGAGATGTGGGAGACACGGTTGAGGGCGTTCTCGACCACCGAGGAGGGGAAGTTACGGTCCTTGAAAAACGAGGACAACTGAGATGTACGGGAGTGGAATGCCTCATCCTGGGAGCAGATGCGGCGGAGGCGAAGGAATTGGGAATAGGGGATAGCATTTTTGCAGGAAGGTGGGTTGGAGGAGGAGTATTCTAGGTAGCTGTGGGAGTCGGTGGGCTTGAAATGAATATCGGTTTCTAGGTGGTTGCCCGATATGGAGACAGAGAGGTCCAGGAAGGGGAGAGAGGTGTTAGAGATGGTCCAGGTAAACTTAAGGTTGGGGTGGAAGGTGTTAGTGAAGTGGATGAACTGTTCGAGCTCCTCGTGGGAGCACGAGGTGGCGCCGATACAGTCATCAATGTAACGAAGGAAGAGGTGGGGTTTAGGGCCGGTGTAGGTACGGAAGAAGGATTGTTCCACGTAACTTACAAAGAGGCAGGCGTAGCTTGGGCCCGTGCGGGTACCCATGGCTACCCCCTTTGTCTGTAGGAAGTGGGAGGAATTAAAAGAGAAGTTGTTGAGTGTGAGGACGAGTTCCGCTAAGTGGATGAGGGTATCATTGGAGGGGGACTGGTTGGGCCTGCGGGACAGGAAGAAGCGGAGGGCCTTAAGGACATCTGCATGGGGAATGCAGGTGTCGAGGGACTGGACGTCCATGGTAAAGATGAGGTGTTGGAGACCGGGGAATTGGAAGTTCTGGAGGAGGTGGAGGGCGTGGGTGATGTCACGGACATAGGTAGGGAGTTCCTGGACCAAGGGGGAGAAAATGGAGTCTAGATAGTTGGAGATCAGTTCGGTGGGGCAGGAGCAGGTGGAGACAATGGGTCGACCAGGGCATTCAGGTTTGTGGATTTTGGGAAGGAGATAGAAGCGGGCAGTGCGAGGTTGGGGAACGATGAGGTTGGAGGCCGTGGGTGGGAGGTCACCTGAGGTGATGAGGTTGTGGATGGTTTGCGAGATGATGGTTTGGTGCTCAGGGGTGGGGTCATGATCAAGGGGATGGTAGGAGGCGGTGTCGGAGAGTTGGCGTCTGGCCTCGGCGATGTAGAGGTCAGTGCGCCATACTGCAACTGCGCCTCCCTTGTCCGTGGGTTTTATGGTGAGGTTGGGATTGGAGCGGATTTGTCACGTTCTGCGGGGGACAGGTTGGAGTGGGTGAGAGGGGTGGAGAGGTTGAGGCGATTGATGTCTCGACGGCAGTTGGAGATGAAGTCGAGGGAGGGTAAGGGGCCCAAAACTGTATACAGTATTCCAGCTATGGTCTGATTTAGTGCCTTCTATGGTTTTAACAAGATTATTTTTATAACCTCTTCCCTTTGAAATAAAGGCCTATTTGTCTTCCCTATTACCTGCTGATATTTTACGCTCGCTTTTTGCGATTGATGCACTCTGACCTCCAAATCGCAGCTTTCTGCAGCCTTTATTTAAATAGTATCTTCCGTCAAATGCAAGTTGCTGTATAGCACTTCAGAGATAGCTTCTTAGTGGTAAACAAAGCAAGGCTGTGGCTTCCATGCTAAGGAAGGATCAGTACTGTTGATGAGCAGAGATGTAGATATATTGTGAGTGGGCAACAAGATGGCAGATGGAGTATAATGAATGAAAGTGCAAAGCTTTCACATGGAAAGAATAAAAAGATGGAATATTTTCAACTTGGGTCACACTTGCAAGGAAAACTAAGTCAGCATGCAGGGCAGTCAGCAATTTGGAAGTTCACTGTGCATGGGGATTGAAGTACAGGAAGAAACAAGTCTTCAGATTATACACATTTTTTGAGTACTGTGTCGTTTTGACCTCCACGTTTCCCAAAGCACAGATACTGGCATTGGAGGTTGTATTGTGCAGGTTCATACGAAGGGCCCGCTAGAATGTGGGGGTTGTCTTAGAATGAGATAATCAGTAACTTGGGTCTATATTCTATAGAGTTTAGAACAATGAGGTACAACCTCACGGAATCATACAAAACTGAGGGGCTTAATAGGTTAGACACTGCAAGATTGTTGTCGTTCGTTGAGGAATTTAAAATACAAGTGGGGCTCGGATAAGGCACTGATCACTTAAGACTGGGATGAAAAATGACTTCACTGAGAGTTGTGAATCTTCGGAATTCTCTACCCCAAAGGGTTGTGGATGCTGTATTGTTGAATAACTTTAAGACTGGAATAGACAGAATTTTGGTGTCTGAGGAAATTGGAGTATGAGAAAATAGAGTTGAAACCCAAGTTGAGCCATGATCGTGTTAAATGGCAGAGCAAGCTTGATGGACTGTATGATCTAAGCCAGCTTTTATTTCTTGTCTTCTTGCAATGAAGTGAAAACACCCAATGGTGAATGCACCACTGCAACATTATTTTTTTTTTCCTGTGACCAGTCAAGTGGAACTATTAGCCATGCAAAAAGCAGCAGCCACTTTTATGTTGATTTTGTCATAATGCTGACAATTTCCAAAAGCCATGCTCTCCATCAGCTGGTAGTTCTGCCTTAGTAACCTTGCTGGATTCAGTACAGTTGATGGTTTTGAGATCCTGTTTAGACACAAGTAATTACTCATGAAGATCCCAACTTGCACTGCTGTGGATGTGCTTCAGTGAATGTTCAGTAGCAATGTATCATGACCAAGTTCTTTCTCCCATCTGATGAGATTATTTTTCAACAGCTGTTCTAGAAAAGTCATTCACTTATGTACTGCCTTTTGCAATTGCTGAGGATTACTGTTCGTGATCAGAGGTAATTTTGAAGCATCATCACCACCTGCTGTGGTGTCGAGCCAGTTTGTTTACACAAGAAGATTCTGTCAATTCACTGCTGTTAAGTTGTTTGCAAGTACTGTGTTAAGTAACACACTGCTTTATTTTACAGAGAGCACTTCCTGAAGACTAATGCACAATTGAACATTCGGTGTCGACAGCTGTTGTCGGAACTGTCTTACATTTACCCTATCGAAGTGGTAAGGTTATTGCGCTTTTTTCCTATGTGTTTTATTTCCCATGTCGGGGGTGGGGTGGCAAATGAGAATCTCAATCACCAGAGATGTACGGAGTAAATTGTCAGCAGTCTGGGTTGACTACTTCTTGGGCCCTAAAAGATTTCATCCTAGGGTCTTACTATTTATTTTAAGTGAGATAGTTGCTGCATTGACTTTAATTTTCCAAAACTCTCTTGATTCAGGGAGGGTCTCATTAGATTGGAAGGCAGAAAATGTAACTTAATTGAAAAATGGAGAGAGACAGAAAGCAGGTGAAATAAGATAAAGGGTGCTATTCAACTGTACACTGATATTGTAAAAGTTCTATTCATTGATGGAGAGTGGGCATGACTCGCTAAACCAGCATTTATTGTCCACAGGGCTGTTATTTGTCAACCACATTGCTGTGGGTCTGGATTCGTATATAGACCAAGTAAAAACAGATGTGAATGAACAGCAATTAACAGCTTGTACAGTATGGTTGTCAGAAGTCTAGCTCTTTTATTTCAGATTTTATTGAATTGAAATTTCACTGCTATGGTGGGATTTGATCCCATGTCCTCCTGATCGAAAAATGCCTTGGAGTTCTGGATTACTCAGCAAGTGATATTACCACTCGGCCACCATCTCCCTCATGGATTTGTCAACGAACCTCTTGCTCCTTGCCCCTCTCCATTTAAAGTGTTGTCTTTTTTTTGTCGTTGCCCCCCCCCCCCGTCGTTGCCCCCCCATTTTGAGATGGACAGCTTACTGAAGCTTTTTTATAAAAAAAAATCCAAATGCCCGAATTCAGCAGGATGAGTCAACATCATGGAGCAAAGTGGCTGTAAATTTAGGAGCAAAAACAAAGTTGTTGGAAAGGCTTGGCAGGTCTGGCAGCATCTGTGAAGGAAAAAACTGTTAACGTTTCGGGTCGGTGACCCTTCCTCAGAACTGATGGCTGGGAAAACGTCAGTGTATACATCAGTTCTTTTGGTTTTTAGTTAGTATTTAACTCCCTGCCACGTCTCTTCCAGGTGTGCACAGTTCTTTTGGTTTTTATTTAGCTGTAAATTTAGCTTGGTGACTGGCTTGAAGTTTAAATTCATATTGTGCACAGCATTGTCAGAAACAGCACCAGTTGTAAACTGGTTCAATTTTTGTCTTTTACAGAATGATCAGAAGGATTATTTTATGTGTGGAGTCAAACTACCAAATTCAGAAGATTTTCAAGGTATCAAAATCCACTTATTTTTGAGACTTTGTTACTTTTTACTTCTTGAATAGACTGACCTACATATAAATGAGAGTCTGATTTACCAAGTAAAATAATTGTGACCATACTACTGCAGAAAGATCAGATTTTACGAAGTATTCTCTAGAGCTGGTTTTTGGAATGTGGTGGTTGTATATAAAACACTTTTTTTAGGAGCGGAAACACCCACTTTAGCTAAACATTTATATGGACTTATCTTTAACTGTGCACATTAGTGTTGTTGAATTGCCCTGTCTGTATTTTGTCTGTATGTTGACTGTCAATTGCATGATTTGTCACGAGGTTATATATACATAGGAATGTAAGAAAAGGAGTAGGCCATTCAGCCTCTTGAGACTGTTCTACGATTCAGTGAGAACATGGTTGATCTGAGGCCTATCCCCATATGCCTGCCTTTGGCCCATATCTCTCAATACTTTTGCTTAACGTTAAGTCCGAGAATTTTTTGTGATAACAACTGATATAGCATCAACTGCCATTTGTGGAAGCGAGTTGCAAAATTCTACTACCCTTTTTATGTGTAGAAGTCCTTCCTGACATGTCTCCTGAACAATCTGGCCTTTTAATTTTAAGACTATGCCCCACAGCTCTCAAATCCCTAACCAGTGTAAATACTTTATCAATCCTGTCTTTTCCTGTTCATACCTTGAAGACTTCAATCAGATCACCCCTTAACCTTCTAAATTCTAGAGAAGACCGGTCTAACTTATGTAATGCCTCCTCATAACTTAACACTTAAAGTCCAAATATCATTTTGTAAACCTGCATTAGTACTGTGTATATAACCTTCCTAAGGTGTGGGGCCCAGATCTGCTGTCAGCAGTCCAATTGGGGTCTAATTAGGGCTTTGTGTAGCTGCAGCACAAGTGGAGTGTCTTTGTACTCCAGTCCTTTGGATATACCAACATTCCATTAACCGCCTTGATTATTTGTACACCTGCTTTGTGACATTTTAAAGAGCTATGCATTTGTACTCCCGAGTCTCTTCAGGCATCAACTGTATTTACCTTCATACAGTCTAGAAAGTACCCTATCTATCCTTTCTTGGTTGAAGATGGAGTTTAGTTTCCACTGTAACTGTCTCTCAATCGTGGAAATTTGTAGGTTACTGAATTACACAAATGAGCTGATGATGGCCCAGTGGGTCACAAACATGCAACCAACAGAGCTCTGGCTGGCAGTCTGCCTCAAAGTAGATTACCTTGGCCAACAGCAGTAGATCATTGTTGTGTTTTCCTACAGAAACAAAAACATATGGAATTGTGTTTAAATTTGTGCTAAACATACAAATTGGTAAAATTCTTTATCTTTGTCATAGACTAGGATTGTGTAGCAGTTAACAAACTAATCTCCATGCCATTTGCCAGATCATAAAATATTATAGAAGTGTGACAATGGGCACTCATTGCAACCCAAATGATTTGTGTGGTAAAATTCCATGTACTTCAATCTGGAGTTCCTTTGAAGTAAATTTGGCAGTACACTTTGTTTAAAAAAAAAAAAAAAAAAAAAAAAAACATTTTATTATGTGCATGATGCAGTCTGGAATAACGGACAACCTTCAGTGCCCCAAATTCTTATGAAAATATGCCTCCTGCAACTTCCAATGAGTTAGCATCCCTGATGCTTCCCCATGCAACTCTATTTCCCATTTTGTTGTCTGTGCTAGTCAGTGTCAGCAGCAGACTTTGTGAAATAAGCGACTTCAGTGGAATGTGGGGTTTTTAGTTTAGTAATCGGAGTGACACAAACTACTGCATCTCTGGAATTGAGTGCTTATATGATTTGATACTAGCAGAGTGGTCTCTGTTGATATGAATGTTTTGTTAATAATAACTTTGAGACTTACTTTTTAATAGTATATACAAGGGCTGTTTTGCAAATAAAGATGCATAAGTGAAGTCTATCTGATGTTAGTCCCTTAAGATGTTTGTAACTTGATGCGTTGGTTTTATTGCACAAGCTAAATTTGAACTGCTTAGTTCATAGTTATTCTTTGGTTCAGTGTCCTCATTTAGCATTGCTCTGATTTTAATTCATTTAGACATGGAAAAGTTTTGAATTGTACAGACACAAAGATCATCAAGTAATTACCTGTCAAATATAACTATCAAAAATTACTTTGCCAACAAATTGCACACTGAAACAATGTTGGGCCAACAAGTCCACATCGACCCCCTGAAGACAGTTTCACCCAGACCCATCTTCCTCTCCTATCCCTGTAATCCTGCATTTCCCATGGCTAACACACCTAACTTAGACATCCCTAAACACTATGGGTTATTTACCCCATGGCCAATCCACCTAACCTGCACATCTTTGGACGGTGGGGTGACACCGGAGCACCTGGTGGAAACCCATGCATACATGGAGAGAACGTGCAGACTCCCCACACGGTTGCCTGAGGGTGGACTCAAACCCGGGTCCCTGGCGCTGTCAGGCAGCAGTGCTAACCACTGAGCCACTGTGCTGCCCATGTAGTATTTCTGCTGCTGCTGCTGCTCATGGCTGTAAAACCATCCTACTTTACCAACACTGATTTGAGGAGAAAAGTGGTTTATACTTGCGTTTTGTGAAATGTTGTACTCTCTGATAAGGCTGAAAGGCTGTGCATTCTACATGCAGCCGAGTTCATGCTTTCAAATTTTCTTGAGACTCTTTGCAACCAGCAAAGAAAGAACATTCCCATCCTGTCTACTTTGATTCAAATCAAGGTTCCAGAAGTGAAAGGGCTTTTGTTTTGATACAAGAGCAAGTGTGTAGAACATGGCTTGAATATGCTGTCCTGATGTTGCACTCCAATGACACTGTGAATGGAAATTTTAGGCTTGTGGAAAAGGAGTCCTTAGAAATTGCCTGCTTCCATTCTGTTTCTAATCAGTAGTTCAACACAAGGGGGCAACTGAGCCATACAGTTGCATACACTGTTCAGGGTTACAGGCATTTGTCTGTTGTCATAGGGGAACATATGCCTGATTTCAAAACCGGTTTTCTTCTTAGGTAATGTGCTGTTAAATATCTTTGGTCAAAGATATAATTGTGTAATGGATTCTGAAAAATTAATGATTTTAGAAAATTTTTCGTGGTTTGAATTGTAGTTTCATGCCATAGGTATGATTTATAAAAATGTATACAGCTGTATTTAATACAGAATATATATATATTTGGTGTAAATCTGCCATGGTTGCATTATGGTCTTCAATTGTTTAGAAGAGCATATGAACATAGTAAAGAAAGATAGGAATTAGGAGAAGGCAGATCAGCCTTTTGAGCCCACTCAGCAATTTAACATGATTATGGCCGGTCTTATCCTGGTCTCAACTGCACTTTCCTGCCTGCTCCCCAAAGCCACTTCTCCTGCTTTTCATCAGAAACACATCTACTTCTTTCTTGAATCTGTTGATTGATTCTGCTTCCACTGCACTCTATGGCAGTAAGTTCCACAGATTCACAGTCCTCTGAAAGAAGTAGTTTCTCCTCATCTCGGTTTTGAACTTACCTCCTTTCTCTATATCTGTGCCCTCTTGTTTGAGATTGTCCCACAAGGGGGAACATGTATCCAACATCCACCTTTTCAATCCCCTTCAGCATTTTATATACCTCAGTCAGATTTCACCTCATTCTTCCGAACTCCAAGTACAAGCCCAAGCTATTCAACCACTCCTTGTATGACAGCCCTCTCATTCCAGGAATGAATGTGGTGAACCTCCTCTGAACTGCCTCTCGTGCCACCACATCCATCCTCAAGCAACTGGACACAGTATTCCAAATGTGGTCTTACCAGTACCTTATATAATTGTAACAACACTTCTTTTATATTTATAATCCAGTCCTTTTGCAATAAATGCTACGATTCTGTATGCCTTTCCTATTATATGCTGCACCTGTATACCCACTTTCTACAGTTCATACACAAAGACACCTAGATTTCTCTGTACTGACTCACTTTGAATCTGCTTGCCATTTAAATAATAACTTACCCTTTTTGTTTTTTCTAGCCAAAATAGACAACACCTCACGTACTGCATTAAAGGCATCTGCCAGATTGTGGCCCATTCTCCTAGCCTATAAATATCCATCTGTAAACACTGTTTCCTCATCACTGCCTGCTTTCCCACCTATTTTAGTATCATCTGCAAACTTTGCTATGTCATAATCTGCCCCTGCTTGCAGATCATCTGTGTAAGATTGTAATTGTTGAAGTCCGAGAACTGAACTCTGCGCCACCCCACTAGTTACAATTTGCCATCCAGAAAAGGACATGTTTACCCTGACCCTTTGTTTTCCATCAGTCAGCCAATCCTCTACTGAAGTCCCTTCCCTTAACACCCTGGGATTTAACCTTCTGGATCAGTCTTTTATGTGGCACCTTGTCAAATACCTTCTGAAAGTCTAGATAGCCCACATCCACTGGATTCCCATTATTTACTTTGGTTACATCCTCAAAGAAATCTAACAAGTTTGTCAAGCACAACTTGCCCTTCAGAAAACCACCCTGATAGTGGTGAATTGAGCTTTGTTTTTCAGTTTGACATTTTACTTTGACTCCAGCAACATTTCGCCACACACGCACCCCACCGCCCGGTCTATAGTTCCCCACTTTGCCTCCCTCCCGTTTTTGACTACGGGTGTCATGTTAGCATGTTTCTAATCCACTGGTATCTTTCCAAAATCCAGGGCATTGTGGAAAATCATAACTAATGCCATCTCTGCTGCCACCTTTCTTAACGCGCTAAGGCACAGGCCATCAGGCCATGGGAGCTTGTCTGCCTTTAATTAGTTCACTTAATGCCTTCTCCTAGCCTCAGTAATTTCACAGAGTTCCTCTGTAGCGACTGCAGTTTTTGGCAAGAACTATTATTATCTTCCACTGTGAAAACAGACAAAATATTTGTTTAATACCTTTGCCATTTGAGTTTTCCCATTATTACCTCACCATTTTCATCCTGTAAAGAGCC